GGAGTCTCTCTCTCTGCTTCCTGACCATGATGTGAGTTGCTTCTGTTGGCCACACTCTTCAGCCATGATGTTTAGCCTCACCTCCCCTAAAATTGTTCTGGTTGGGTCTTTAAGTCACAGCAGTGAAAAAACTGACTAAAACACTGAGACAACCATCTTTGGCTTCTGGCTTACTTTTTTCTTTTGCAGGAGTTTCTCATTCTTTCTAGTTTACCAAGGGTTTCCCTTTTAGTTTTTGTATATACTGAGTACTTATTTATTTTTAAATATTTTTTCTTTCTTTGAAATTTTTGCTGCAAGTAAAAGTCCTGAAAGATCTTTATTTCCAGATAGGGAAAATACAGAAAATTGAAATTACTTACTCAAAGTTGCATGGCAGATTAGCATCAGAATCAGGATCTTCTCTGAAACTCCCTGTCTCCTCCCTACAAGTTTAGTGCTCCTCCAATAACATACTTATATCCAAAAGGGAATCTTCAATGCATCATTCTTAGTCTCATGAAGCCTCACCTTTTTGTAATACAAATAATTATACCTCAAATTGTCTTTGTGTAAATCTAATGGTTTTATATGCCAAATTGAAATGAAGTACATCCAAATATGTTTGGTACAATCTATAATTGTGCCTCCAAGAAGTCCTTCTATAATCCCAGTAGACTTATTACCTTTCTGATGTCTCCTGATAACCTAAAGATGATGAACAGCATGGAAAAAAAATCAGGTTTTGCAGACTCCTCATCCACTATTTTAAGAAAAAAAATTAATGTCAATATTCAGAATTTGGACAAGGGCTTATTGACAAAAAATCTTAAACATGTCAGAAAAAGCTTTTTGAAGGTAGTTATGCCTTTTCTGAGATCTGTAGAACTTGAGATGGCCATTGAAAAGTAAGACAATAAAAAGGAATAAAAAATTCTATGTACAACTCTAAGTAGTTGCAAAAGGCTGGAAGTCAAGCAAAGACTCAGGGCTGATTTTAAAGGACATTGGGAAGTGACCTCATTAATTTGACTGCATTCTTAGGGAAATCAGAGGTGGTTGATGGGAACTGGAAATTCCTATATATTGACTTTTTTTTCAAAGATAATCTGGACCCCAATAAGAAAGGAAGATTTAAAAAATATATGTATTAAATGGAAGCTGTTTCTGTATGTGGGAAAAGTTATAAAACATGCAAAAAAGCGGGGGGCAAAAACAATATTTCACCTTTGAACTTACACAGATCAAGAAGTAGTATGGAATGTGCAAATTTTGGTATATCACTTATTTTATTTGATACAGGTCTCAATCTTTTTAAAGTAAATTTGAGTATAATTACAAGCATTCAATCTGATCATTGTTCATGAAGTGAATCACCTGTATCACCAGTTGAATCAGGAAATTAAGCCATTAGCTTCTCTCCACATAGAAACTCACACATGAAAAGAACTTCAAATATGATCTAAAACAGCACAATCATTTCTTCAGATGAATGAATGCCAATCACATCCCTAGTCGTGGAACAGATAATATTAGAACTTCTTTGGCCGAATTAGAATTAGAAATCTGGAGCCCTTGGAGCCTACTCACTGTGCGTCCCTTTCTTTCAACCCATATTTCTCTAGTCATTCTATCCAGATGGCCTAGGAGAGACCATCTCAGTGAACTGAGGCTTTATGGAAAATTCCATATGAAAACCACTGGTTCGTTGTAAGTTTTCCCTTTTAATCAAGTGTTGACAAGCTTTTCTGAAAAGGATCAGGTATTAACTATTATAGGTTTTACTTACTATACAGCTTCTACATAGCTACTCAAATCAAATGTTGTAGCATGAAAGCAGCTATAGATGGTATCTATTAGTTTTGTTCTATAAAAACTTTATTTGCAAATAGACTGCGAGCCAGATTGGGTCCGTGGACTATAGTTTGGCAATACCTGCTGTTAAAAAATAAGGAAAGAGAGATTCAGAAAATGAAGTAATTTAGAATCACACAATTGTATTACTAAAAAGAATAATTACTTAAAAGATTAATCTTGTGGATAAGGAAACTAAAGCCTTGGGAAATTCACAAAACTGTGCAAATTTAAAGCAATTTATGGCATGTGTAACTTAACAAGGGATACATATATCAGAATTATAGTTTAGGTTGCACTTCGATTCCATTCCAACTTGTTTTTATTGTTTTAACTCTGTAGCTCTCGCATCTTTCCAGGAATCCTGTTCTTCCTAGGAATTGTAAACCCCCAATCTCATAACTAACATACTTTCTACTAGATTCATTGTTTCTCATGACTCAACCTGGTGCTTCAAAAGGTGAGTCTTCACATAAATTGCCCAAATAACTCTTTACACCAATTTTAAATGGCCTGGGTCCTGAGAATGTTTATGCCCATTACTGAGTTGAGGTCTACCTTTTTCATGTCATATTTTTTCAATGTCACACTTGAAATGCTTTTTATCAAAAGATTATGCATTTGAATGAATTTACCAAGTCTTTACTATGTTTCAAGGTCTTATGATTTATTCTGGTATCTTGTGCCTGAAAGTGTGTTATTTGTATTGGCAAAACACTTGCAGAGGCTGGGTCAGACCTTGTCTTTCTTCTGTATGTGTGTGGTATTTTATGAATTGAAACAGGCAAGGTCATGCAGCAGAAATAGACAAAGCTAGAATCCTAGTGGTCCAAAGCCATGTATTTCACTCTAAAGCCTTAGTAAGTGCTTTGCTCTTGCTCACTGCCATTCACATTCTCTTTTGAAACTGACAGGGCAGCCACTATTGATGAATTGCCCATCACAACCTTAGAGGAAAAAGAGAATATAATGAAGCACGAATTGGCTCTTAAAGATTCTCCTTGAAGTGACAGATCCACCTTTCAATGGTCAAAGCAAGTCAAATTGCTAAATCTAACTTCCATGGAGAACGGAAATACTCCACAGAGGGAAATCAGACATTGGTGAATTGAGGTCAAAATCCAGCTGAGAGCCAGAAGCTTAAATCCATTCTCATTTCTCTCTAGAGGACTGAAAGGCCTCATGCAAGTTAACTGCTAGTATCCTGCCCTGAATTACCAGATACCAGAAATAGGTATAAATATACCTTTTGGGCATTATAAATCAAGATGTAAATCTATTCCTTAAAAATAGTTTATTATTAATATACTATTTAATATGTTAATTAGGAATGAGATCTATATAAGTGAAATATAAATATTTAGTATTTTCAAAGGTATTTAATATGCTTTTGATAGTCATAACTATTTCAAATTTTTCCCATTTTGTTCTTTTGCCCAACCATTCCTGAAATATTTTCCAATGGACCTTATTTTCTGATTTCTCTTCTATGGGGGAACATACATAAAAATCTCCATCAAAATAAAATAAGGTGCCTGTTAAAATATCACATTCCTAGGTTATACATCAAAGTAACAGTAGATGGCCCCAGGAATCCGTAGCTTATTGCCCAGAAACACCATATGGCATTAATGTTTGGAAAACACTGGCCTAGATCATATGGCCTGAATCTGTTCACTAATTTTAATGAAATCGTTGGCCAGCCATTAGGGTTGTTTTTATGCCTTGTTTTATTTCTTTCTTTCCTTCCTCTTCCTCTCACCCTCCCCCCACCTTTTTTTTTTTTTTTTGGTATGAGATTTAGGGTTAACTCATTTAGTTCCAATAGTTGGTATATGGAGGGATTTGTCATTTGCTCCAGAAATTCACCTGGGGTGCAAAACAACTTCCAGAGAGAAGCATTCATGTTTCATCAATTTATCATTTTTTTAGTTGAAAATTTATAGAATGCTGAGGAAAATTTTAAATAGAACTCTTGAAAAAAGCATATTAAATGTGGTGGCTGTGCGTGACATCTTTAAGGCTATAACTGAGAATCTGTGTTTAGGTCTGCAAGCAAAATGTGATCAACTTGGATGAACACACAATCCAATTCATTCTTCTCAAATTTACAGTTGAATCCTATTGTCATTGTTGAATAATCGTGTGCTGATTTAATTGCATTGAAATTAATATGTGCAAATGTGTCAATGGTGGGAGCCGTGTCCTCACCATTGCCAACCCTCCCTCACTGTCATCTCTGAAGTGATCGTGACTGTTAATCTACGTTTTGCTCCTAAAACTGTGTAGTTAATTTAAAAAGGTTGATTAGGGAAGATCATTCTTTCTTAAATCTACAGTGTGAAAATTAAAGAAATTATAGGATAGATATTTTAAATTGTTACACTTCAATTTTCAAAATAAACAAAATTATTTTATGTGATATATTGATATAGTATTTTTTTTTTCAAAGTATGTTATTGACTCTATCTGAGAAAGCAAACTAGACTAAGTTTCGAGTTTTCTTTTATCCAGGGTTTTTAACTCACTATCATTGGCAATGTGGTGTCAACTATACAAATGCAGTCATAATGAGGGAATCTTTATGCTGTGCATCAGATTTCAATGTGTGCCTCATTACTGCATGAGGAACAAAAGGATGAAGGAATAATCTGTTTACCAGGGTTTTGAAGAGTTGAATGAGTCATAATCATATTCTTTAAAACTATATGCTTTTATGTATATGAAGCTTAACAGAGGGACCCAGTGAACAAACATTGGACAAAGACTTGTGAAATTGCTTTTCATATTAAATGATTCCATCCTTGCATATAGTAATTTATGGGAATCCTCCCTTTGTTTGTCTACTCTGGAGTTTGATGAGAAATGCCCAAAGGAGTGTTTTGTGATAATATAGTGAAATCTGCTAATTTATGGTTTCATATGGATATCTACATTTGCTCTACATTTGCCAGGTGGCCCCGTGTTATTCCCATTGAGTTCTTTAAACTGAATTGTTAGATTGATTTTAGATCAGATTAGATTATTTCATGAAAGATGCGTGGAGTAGAAGTATTTTCTAGATGATTGTAGTTATATTCTACAATAGCACCACATGGTAGTTCCCTTCTAGTATGATATACCAATTCCATCTTTTAAATCTTGTGTGGAATTAAAGAGCAACTAAGTTCAAAAGTAATTATTTTTTATTTCAACTCTATAAAGTATACAACAGGCACTCAGCAATTACAGCTGCAGGAAAAATACAGAGCAAATCAAAGCAGGTTAAGTTTATGAAAAAGTTTTTAATCTACATCAAAAGAGTGCAAGTGGTCAATGACCATTTGATGACAGTTTGTTGCATTCTGACTAACAAAGGACTCTTTCATGTAGAACAAATTCTAAGAGGACAATCAAATAACCATAGCAGTAAGAATACAAAAGAACTGACCAGTTGTAAAAACATCATACATTGAAATAAATTTGATAGATGATGCTTAAAGAAATGTCCCTTTACTCAGAAAGCCCAAACCTCTGAGTCATGGTCAAGGTCCCAGAGCTCTGTCTGTTGATGCAGGGGCAGATAAAGAGGAGGGCTTACAATATACTTTCAAAGTTTTGCTTTCCAGGTCTGTCGAAAACTTGCCTCATAAATGATTTGCATACACAAGAACTCAAAGAAAGCATCCTGTTTTGTTGAGTGGTGCATCAAGTTACTTTTTCGTCATTGGTTTCAGAACGAGGTGTGGTTAGCAGTCATTTCTGATTTTCTTTTGGGTTGGACCATTGTTAATGGAGTCTATAAAATGAGATATGCTAGAATATGACTGCACTAATTGCTTTTTCACTGAATCTGCACAGCTTAGCAAAACAGGAATACCTGTATACAGACTGATAGTATGTCATATATTAATTTGACCTGCACATACATTTATACATTTCACAGAAATGACGCTGTATCTCATTAACAGATACACAGCTCTGGTACATTTAACAGAAATAAGAGAACAACTTCATCATTTCTGTAATTCATCAATATTATATAATAAAGGCTTATAAATTGTTAGCAGAAAGAACTGTAAAACGCAGCAAGCTAAGAAAGGACAACATTTTGAGGTGTGTTTGTCTTTGTCATGCAGCATAACACCAAATTTATTTTTTTTAATCAGATGCCATGAATTTAAGGCACTTGCAACAATGCCAGATAGCCAGGTCATGTTCTAAACTATGGGACAGATGAATAACAGTACTGTTGACATAGTTTTCAATAATACTGACAATTATGACATTAATTCAAGTCTACTTGGACCTAAAAACATTATTCAATACAAATAAAACAAAATAATAATGCTGTGAAACACTAAAAAAAGTTATATGTACCACAAAATATCACACAAAAATATCTATTTACATAAATATTTGTCTGTGGTCCTATTGTGAAAGAAAACAGTGTTATGGATAATGCACAGATCACCTCTATTGTATGAAATCAGTTCTAATATTCTTGTTGTCAATATGGTAGCTGACTTCTTTAAGTTCATCATCAGTTCAGTCATTTAAAAATGAAGCAAGAAAAATCCAATAGTTATGTATGTATCATTGTACATGTAAAATTCACATGTATATTTATAATTGTAAGTAAAAACTATGATTTATTAAGTATATAATCAAAATACATTTGTTTTAAATGCTACATGGGTCTGATTCATACTGTAATAACAAGGAAGGTAATAAACATAAAAATCAATTACAGCAATTTTCCACAAATAATTTTCTCTAATGTATTCAATCTATCTCAACTTTGATGTTCCTTTCCTTGGCAGTTTTCAGTTTTCCTGTGAATCAAGACACACAGAAAGCCCTTATTTCCCATACTGGAAATATTGACAAGAAAGTCATTTCACAAATCAAACAAGTTGGCACTATTCTAACTTATCCAGATGTTCTTTAATGTAAGAAAAAAGAAGGGGCATGAAAAATTCAGAAGTAAAATGAGATGCACTTTATGAAGCTGATCATGAATTATAGCCCTAGTGTCTTCATTAAGACAAGATTTAATTCCTTAAAATTAAATATTGTAAATCAGATGAATGTTTTCTGTTAATAATTCTTGGAAGATATAGTTCACCTTTAGTTTTTGGTGATTGCTTTAGACATCCTGATGCAATGTTATGGGTGAAATGAACAAAGATGTAGGTACAGGTGGGAAAAACAATCTACAGTTACGTTGTGCTGAATGCTACTTCTTCCTTCTCCACAGAACTTTCCAAATGGGTTGTCTTAGACGTGAACCATAGTCCAAAATGCACAGTAAGTGCTAATTTCTGGGACTTTTGTGATATTTGAAAATTTGTAGGATCAGATTTACTTTCCTAATGACAAGGTAAATTTAATATTCTAGCAAGCCTTTTGCACCACACAATCTTTAAACAAAAATCACTGAACATTGGTGGTAATTGGAATTATATATATATATATATAATGATTTTGAGAATTTGTAAGGGAGGGAATGTTCCAATAACAATAATATCAATAATATCTTAGGATCAAAATTTTAATCAAATTTTATCCTAATTATACATAATACAAACAGTAGTTTTATGCTGAACATGTTTTAGAGTATATTTTGATATCATGTTCTAAAGTAGTTTTTTGAGTATGAAAAATTCAAACAAAATTCATAATTATACACTTTCTTGGCTAGATATGACAAGCCAATTCAATATAGTTTTGCAGAAACGTCTACATTAGATTGATTAGTAAAACACTCTAATGTTAAAAAGCAAACCTGTCTTAATTATACCAAGTTCACACACAGTTCCAAGACAGCTTTGAAGGTTATACATTGGTCTTTGTAGGTGTAATGCTATCTGTCAAGGAAAAGCTTCCAGAAAACTCGGCTATTGACAGCTAATAATGTTCAACCAGCCTGCCGCCAACGGACTTGGTTTCATTTGCTGATTCTTTATGTGAAAAAAAGCAAATCAGTTTGATATTTTCATTTCTAGTCTAGTATAAATTTCAGGTTCACTAATATTTGTTTTATTTAGCTAAAATCAATTTTTATGAACTCAGGTTCCTTTTTCCTTCTCTAACCCTTTTCTACTTGAACAAATGTGTGGGCTTATTCAGGAAAAGGTAATCAACACCTGGACAATTTCTTGTTTTCTTTCCTGACCTCAAATGAGTGAGCTTCCTGGTTTTGTGAACTTTAATAACTTTGACATTGTGTTTTCTGACTTTCTTTTTCTTTTTTTCTTTTTTGGTTCAGGCCTAAGACAAGAAGCTAGTTCAAAAAGATTTCCAAATCACCTTTTTCTCTCAAACCTAGACTATGTTGTGTAAGTGAAATCTGACAGGTGTTTGGTTTAATAAATTTAGTGAAAATGCTTGAGTCTCTGGCTAGACATGTAAGGTTTAGAATTTGTGTTGTCTGTTCAGACACTGACATTACAGATGAAAGATACACATAGCACCTATATAGTTTTTTTTTTTTTTTTTTTGGATGGGTCTTAATCCCGCCCCACCCTATCCCACCCCTAACTCAAGGGTTTATTTTTATAAAAGGAAATATTTTAAGCCTCAGTTTGAGGGTATGTTAGGTAAATAGATAAACCAATTGGCTGCTAGTCACTTATTTCCAGGACCATCTTTAAGCACAATATTTTTTTAAAACATGAAATGGTTTTGTGAATTGCTTTTCCCCCCACTCTATCATGCCAATTTATCAAAAAGAAATGAATATCATGCATTTTTTTCAATCCTCTGCTAAAACGCATATATACCTGCTATGAAAGGTCTCAGGAGAATCCATAGCAGTTGTGCTTTTATCATATCAATTTTTAAAATCTGTCAGAAAGAAAAGGTAACATTCAGTCTTGTCATCAGCACTGCTGGGAAATAAAATCATGAAACTTCTAGCACTGGTTTGACATGAACTCCATGACCCACAGATGTGTGGTCCTCTTTTCTAAGGTATATACACCGGCTTGCAGTAATAGGTTCCACAACCTTCATTTTAAAAAAGGGGATAGCCCAGGTTCTGTACCATCATCATCTATCGTACCAATATATTATTCTTTCATCTTGAAAAGTCTAGCAAGGTACAGACTCTTTTACTAGATTGAAGTGCTTCCTACAGTCTTTCAAATTATAGTCAGAGCAAAGCAAGATCGTTGCAACAATAGAAAACATCACTTTACTGGTGAAAGGCTTTGCTTCAGGACCACCATGTCAACTGCTATTTTAGGTTCAAACAGAAAACATGTAAAGAGCACTATTGTCATCTAAGCAATAAGTCCTAATGCCACTGTAGTTACTGGAGCAGCATCGATCAAAGGCATCATGGTGACCCCGAGCACTAATCTTCTCTCTTTCCCTCAAGTTTGCTGGCAGCTGTGTCTCAGAAAAAGCTGTCTTCAGCAAGGCAGAAGCAGGTAAGAGAAATACATTAGAAGTCTATATCCCAGCCTGAGTTGTCATCAGGCGGTGGCTCCTCACTGTCCTCAGGAAAACTGTCGAAATTACTTGTGTCCGTGGGTGATGCAACCTGCAACATGAGAAAATGAGTAGGTTTCTGACTTTTTTTTTCATGGGATTTTACTTTACTCTCCATTATTAAAAAGAATTGTTATTTTTAAACGGATACATAGAAACATAAAAATTATACTTATCAGTGAGGTACCATGCAATTTTTGATACATGTGTGCATTGCATAATGTTTAAATTAGGTTAAACATATTTGTCTTCTCAAACATTTATCATTTGTTTGTAGTGAAACTTTCAAAATCCCTTCCTATAGTTTCTTGAAATATATAGTGCATTTTTGTTATCTGCGGTCACTGTACTGTCTGATAGCACATAAGAACCCCTTGCTCCTGTTTTAACTGTTTAGTACCCACTGATCAACCTCGTCCACTTCCTGTTTCTATTGCCCTATTCTTCCCAGCCTCTGGTAGTCCTCATTCTACTCTCAACTTCTAAGAGATGAACTGTTTTAGATTCTACATATAAGTGAGATCATGTGGCATTTGCTTTCTGTGCCTAGTTTATTGCTACAAATAACAGATTTGCATTATTTTTTATGACTGAATAATATGCCATTATGTGCATGTACTACATTTTCTCTATTTTGAATTTTATTGTATTTATTATTTTGGTACTGGGGATTGAACTCAGGGACATTTGACCATTGAGCCACACCCCAGCCCTATTTTGTATTTTATTTAGAGACAGGGTCTCACTGGGTTTCTTAGCATCTCGCTTTTACTGAGGCTGGCTTTGAACTCAGGATCCTCCTGCCTTAGCCTCCCAAGCTGCTGGATTACAGGCATGTGCCACCACGCAGCTCTATTTTGAATTTTATTTTATTTTATTTTATTTTATTTTTTTTTTTTTTTTTAAATTTTTTATTGTGGGTTGTTCAAAACATTACAAATTTCTTGACATATCATATTCCACACTTTGATTCTAGTGGGTTATGAACTCCCACCTTCACCCCATACACAGATTGCAGATTCACATCAGTTACACATCCATTGATTTACAAATTGCCCTACTAGTGTCTGTTGTGCTCCGCTGCCTTTCCCATCATCCACCCTCCCCCCTCCCCACCTCTCCCCTCCCCTCCCCTCCTCTCTCTCTACCCCCTCCACTGTATAACCCTGAGGGTCTCCTTCCATTACCGTGCAATTTACCTTCTCTCTCCCTTTCCCTCCCACCTCTCATCCCTGTTAAATGTTAATCTTCTTCTCCTGTTCTTCGTCCCTACTCTGTTCTTAGTTACTTTCCTTATATCAAAGAAGACATTTGGCATTTGTTTTTTAGGGATTGGCTAGCTTCACTTAGCATAATCTGCTCTAATGCCATCCATTTCCCTGTAAATTCTATGATTTTGTCATTTTTTAATGCAGAGTAATACTCCATTGTGTATAAATGCCACATTTTTTTTATCCATTCGTCTATTGAAGGGCATCTAGGTTGGTTCCACAGTCTTGCTATTGTGAACTGTGCTGCTATGAACATCAATGTAGCAGTGTCCCTGTAGCATGCTCTTTTTAGGTCTTTAGGGAATAGACCGAGAAGGGGAATAGCTGGGTCAAATGGTGGCTCCATTCCCAGCTTTCCAAGAAATCTCCATACTGCTTTCCAAATTGGCTGCACCAATCTGCAGTCCCACCAGCAATGTACAAGTGTACCCTTTTCCCCACATCCTCGCCAGCACTTGTTGTTGTTTGACTTCCTAATGGCTGCCAATCTTACTGGAGTGAGATGGTATCTTAGGGTGGTTTTGATTTGCATTTCTCTGACAGCTAGAGATGTTGAGCATTTTTTCATGTACTTGTTGATTGACTGTATGTCCTCCTCTGTGAAGTGTCTGTTCAGGTCCTTGGCCCATTTGTTGATTGGGTTGTTTGTTCTCTTATTGTCTAATTTTTTGAGTTCTTTGTATACTCTGGATATTAGGGCTCTATCTGAAGTGTGAGGAGTAAAGATTTGTTCCCAGGATGTAGGCTCCCTATTTACCTCTCTTATTGTTTCTTTTGCTGAGAAAAAACTTCTTAGTTTGAGTAAGTCCCATTTGTTGATTCTAGTTATTAACTTTTGTGCTATGGGTGTCCTATTGAGGAATTTGGAGCCCGACCCCACCGACTGTAGATCGTAGCCAACTTTTTCTTCTATCAGACGGCGCGTCTCTGATTTGATATCAAGTTCCTTGATCCATTTGGAATTCACTTTTGTGCATGGCGAGAGAAAGGGATTCAGTTTCATTTTGTTGCATATGGATTTCCAGTTTTCCCAGCACCATTTGTTGAAGATGCTATCCTTCCTCCATTGCATGCTTTTAGCCCCTTTATCAAATATAAGATAGTTGTAGTTTTGTGGATTGGTTTCTGTGTCCTCTATTCTGTACCGTTGGTCCACCCGCCTGTTTTGGTACCAGTACCATGCTGTTTTTGTTACTATTGCTCTGTAGTATAGTTTGAAGTCTGGTATCGCTATACCGCCTGATTCACACTTCTTGCTTAGCATTGTTTTTGCTATTCTGGGTCTTTTGTTTTTCCATATGAATTTCATGATTGCTTTCTCTATTTCTACAAGAAATGCCATTGGGATTTTGATTGGCATTGCATTAAACCTATAGAGAACTTTTGGTAATATCGCCATTTTGATGATGTTAGTTCTGCCTATCCATGAACAGGGTATATTTTTCCATCTTCTAAGATCTTCTTCTATTTCTCTCTTTAGGGTTCTGTAGTTTTCATTGTATAAGTCTTTCACCTCTTTTGTTAGGTTGATTCCCAAGTATTTTATTTTTTTTGAAGATATTTTGAATGGAGTGGTTGTCCTCATTTCCATTTCAGAGGATTTGTCGCTGATATACAGGAATGCCTTTGATTTATGCGTGTTGATTTTAAATCCTGCCACTTTGCTGAATTCATTTATTAGCTCTAATAGTTTCTTTGTAGAGCCTTTTGGGTCTGCTAGATATAGAATCATATCATCTGCAAATAGTGATAATTTAATTTCTTCTTTTCCTATTTTGATGCCTTTAATTTCTTTCGTCTGTCTAATTGCTCTGGCCAGTGTTTCGAGAACTATGTTGAAGAGAAGTGGAGAGAGAGGGCATCCCTGTCTTGTTCCAGATTTTAGAGGGAATGCCTTCAGTTTTTCTCCATTCAGAATGATGCTAGCCTGAGGCTTAGCATAGATTGCTTTTACAATATTGAGGTATGTTCCTGTTATCCCTAGTTTTTCTAGAGTTTTGAACATAAAGGGATGCTGTACTTTGTCGAATGCTTTTTCCGCATCTATCGAGATGATCATATGGTTCTTATTTTTAAGTCTATTGATGTGGTGAATAACATTTATTGATTTCCGTATATTGAACCAGCCTTGCATCCCAGGGATGAATCCTACTTGATCATGGTGTACAATTTTTTTGATATGTTTTTGTATCCGATTCGCCAGAATTTTATTGAGGATTTTTGCATCTAGGTTCATTAGAGATATTGGTCTGTAGTTTTCTTTCTTTGAAGTGTCTTTGTCTGGTTTAGGTATCAGGGTGATGTTGGCCTCATAGAATGAATTTGGAAGTTCTCCCTCCTTTTCTATTTCCTGAAGTAGCTTGAAAAGTATTGGTATTAGTTCTTCTTTAAAGGTTTTGTAAAATTCTGCTGTATACCCATCGGGACCTGGGCTTTTCTTAGTTGGTAGTCTTTTGATGGTTTCTTCTATCTCCTCAATTGATATTGGTCTGTTTAGGTTTTCTATATCCTCCTGACTCAATCTGGGCAGATCATATGACTTAAGAAATTTATCTATGCCTTCACTATCTTCTAATTTATTGGAGTATAAGGATTCAAAATAGTTTTTGATTATCTTCTGTATTTCTGAAGTGTCTGTTGTGATATTGCCTTTTTCATCCCGTATGCTAGTAATTTGAGTTCTCTCTCTTCTTCTCTTCACTAGCATCACTAAGGGTCTGTCGATTTTGTTTATTTTTTCAAAGAACCAACTTTTAGTTTTGTCAATTTTTTCAATTGTTTCTTTTGTTTCGATTTCATTAATTTCAGCTCTGATTTTAATTATTTCTTGCCTTCTACTTCTTTTGCTGTTGTTTTGCTCTTCTTTTTCAAGGATTTTGAGATGAAGTATGAGATCATTTATTTGTTGGTTTTTTCTTTTTTTAAGGAATGAACTCCAAGCAATGAATTTTCCTCTTAGAACTGCTTTCAATGTGTCCCATAGATTCCGATATGTTGTGTCTGTGTTTTCATTTATCTCTAAGAATTTTTTAATTTCCTCCTTGATGTCTTCTATAACCCATTGATCATTCAGTAACCTATTGTTCATTCTCCAATTGATGTATGCGTTTTCCTTCCTTCTTTTATCATTGATTTTCAGTTTCATTCCATTATGATCAGATAAGATGCATGGTAATATCTCTACTCCTTTATATTGTCTAAGAGTTGCCCTGTGACATAATATATGATCTATTTTTGAGAAGGATCCATGTGCTGCTGAGAAAAAAGTGTAACTGCTTGATGTTGGGTGGTATACTCTATATATGTCAATTAGGTCTAGGTTATTAATAGTGTTATTGAGTTCTATAGTTTCCTTATTCAACTTTTGTTTGGAAGATCTGTCCAGTGGCGAGAGAGGTGTGTTGAAGTCTCCCATGATTATGGTGTGGTGGTCTATTAGACTCTTGAACTTGAGAAGAGTTTGTTTGACGAACATAGCTGCACCATTGTTTGGGGCATAAATATTTATGATTGTTATGTCTTGTTGGTGTATGGTTCCCTTAAGCAGTATGTAGTGTCCCTCTTTATCTCTTTTGATTAACTTTGGCTTGAAATCTATTTTATTTGATATGAGTATGGACACGCCTGCTTGTTTCCGAAGTCCATATGAGTGATATGATTTTTCCCAACCTTTCACCTTCAGCCTATGTATGTCTTTTCCTATCAAATGCGTCTCCTGTAGGCAGCATATTGTTGGGTCTTGTTTTGTGATCCATTCTACTAGCCTGTGTCTCTTAATTGGTGAGTTTAAGCCATTAACATTTAGGGTTATTATTGAGATATGGGTTGTTCTTCCAGCCATATTTGTTTATTTCTGTTACTAAACATTGTTTGTTTTCCTCTTTGATTGTTCCCCCCCCCTTTACTGTCTTACCTCCCACTGTTGGTTTTCATTGTTATTTTCCATTTCCTCTTCCTGTAATACTTTGGCTAGGATGTTTTGAAGAGATGGTTTTCTAGCTGCGAATTCTTTAAACTTTTGTTTATCGTGGAAGGTTTTAATTTCATTCTCCATCCTGAAGCTTAATTTCGCTGGATACACAATTCTTGGTTGGAACCCATTATCTTTCAGTGTTTGAAATATGTTATTCCAGGATCTTCTAGCTTTCAGAGTCTGTGTTGAAAGATCAGCTGTTATCCTGATTGGCTTACCCCTAAATGTAATCTGCTTCCTTTCTCTTGTAGCTTTTAAAATTCTCTCCTTATTCTGTATGTTGGGCATCTTCATTATAATGTGTCTAGGTGTGGATCTCTTATGATTTTGCACATTCGGCGTCCTGTAGGCTTCTAGGATTTGGGATTCTGTCTCATTCTTCAAGTCTGGGAAGTTTTCTTGTATTATTTCATTGAATAGACTGCTCATTCCTTTGGTTTGGAGCTCTGTACCTTCCTGTATCCCAATGACTCTTAAGTTTGGTCTCTTAATGTTATCCCATATTTCTTGGATGTTCTGCTCATGGTTTCTTAACAGTCTTGCTGAGCTGTCTATGTTCTTTTCCAGTTGAAATACTTTGTCTTCATTGTCTGATGTTCTTTCTTCTAAGTGTTCTACTCTGTTGGTAGTATTCTCCATTGAGTTTTTAAGTTGGTTTATTGCTTCCTGCATTTCTAGGATTTCTGATTGCTTGTTTTTTATAACCTCTATCTCCCTGTATAGTTGATCCTTTGCTTCCTGGATTTGTTTGCATAATTCGTTGTCGAAGTGATCTTTCATTGTCTGATTTTGCTGTTTAATGTCTTCCTTGATACTCCAGATCATCTGAAGCATGTATATCCTGAATTCTTTATCTGACATTCCATCTGCTGCAGCTGTTACCTCTTCTAAAGTTGCGTTGACCTGCATTGCTTGTGGTCCTTTCTTTCCTTGTCTTTTCATACTGCTTGCGTATCTTTCCTGCAGGTGCGGGCGGCGGCTCTGCTCTCTCCTTATTCCAATTGGGGTGTCGTGGCTACCACGCCGGCAGGTCACTGGGCCTGTTCTGGGAGCTGGTGGCGGCTCTGTTCTGCCCCTACTCCAATTGGGGTGACGTGTCTGTCGTACCAGCAGGCCACTGGGCCTGTCCTGCTGGTCGGTCGCAGATCTGCCCACCTTTCGGGCACGAGTGGAGGCTCTGCTTTGCCCCTACTCCAATTGGGGTGTCGTGACTACCCCGCCTGCAGGATGCTGGGTCTGTTCCTGGCAAGGGAGGCGACTCTGCTCTGTCACTACTCCAATTAGGGTGGTGTTTGTACCCCGCCGGCAGGCTCCTGGGCCTGATCCGCCGGTCTGTTGTAGGTCTGCCTACCTTGAAGGCGCGGGCGGCGGATCTGCCCTGCCCCTCCTACCACGCCTGCGGACCCCTGGGCCTGATCTGCAGGTTGATCACTGGTCTGCTCACCCTGCGGGCACGGGTGGCGGTTCCGCTCCACCCCCACTCCAGTTGGGGTCACGTGACCACCACACCGGCAGGGCCTGATCCGGGCGTGGGATAAGGATCTGCTCTGCCCCTACTCGAGTTGGGGTGACGTGTGTACCACACTGGCAGGCCACTGGGCCTGACCCGCCAGGCTGTCACAGGTCTGTTAACCTTGCAAGCGCGAAGGGCGGCTCTGCCCTGCCCCTCCTACCACGCCCATGTACTACTGGGTCGTGGGTCTGCCCACCTGGCGGGTGTGGGTGGCGGCTCCGCTCCGCCCCCTCTCCAATTGGGGTCACGCGGTCACCACGCTGGCGAGCCGCTGGGCCTGCTCCGGGGGCTGGCGGCGGCCCGGCTCCTTCCCTCTGGCTCGAGGACAAATTGAGGAGACTCGGGTGACTGAGCCTCACCCCCCTTACCAGGAGACCAACTGCTTATGTCACCGCTGGTATTGATGAAGATCTCTCCTCCACCGCTTTCTGCTGACATCAGATCTCTGCCATGTTGGTATCCTATGCGAATGGCAGCATTTCGTTCCCCTTGCCAGGCAACCCAAGCAATGGGTGAGTCCTGACCTGCCCTCAGCAGGACCCGGACCGAGACACAGTTTCCGCGGGCTCCTAGCCCCGGTCCAGGGAAGTTCCGGGGGCCGGAACTCGGCCGCTCCGTGCTCGGTGTAAGCTCCTATAAGTGTAGGCTCCAAGAAGCAGCCCCCGTGGGCTCAGTTCCAGGAGCCGGAATTCGGCCGCTTAGTGTTTGGTGTATGCTCTGATAGTAGCAGGGTCCAAGAAGCAGCCTCCGCGGGCTCCGCAGCCCTGAGCCAGGGCGGTTCCGGGACCTCTATTTTGAATTTTAAAAAGCATTTTTGTCCCCTTTTCAATGACAATTTTTTTTTAGCATCTACTATGTAACTGGGTTTGAATTGTGGTTAACAGTGGTAAGTAAAAATAAAATAAATCCTCACAGGGATTTATATTACAGAAATAAATTGTGTGGTTAAAACCAATAATTAAGAAAATCTTTATGTAAGTATGAACTTTGGCTAGGGCTGCAATATACACACACACACACACATATATATGTATATATATATATATATATATATACACACACACATTATATATATATTCATATATATGTACACTTACATATATATGTGTATGTTTATATATAGTGCTTTGAGAGTATAAGAGTGAACATATAAAGCCTCTTGAAAAAGTATGATTTATAACCTAAGAATCAGTGAATTCAATATGGAGGGTAGCACATGCCAAGGTCCTGAGGTGAGACACAGAGAGAGAGCTCCATGCTTTGAAGTAACCAAAAGATGCTGACATAACTGCTATATAAGAAATGGGGACAGTACGCAGAGATGAGGCAGATAAGCAGGCAAAATCCAGGCACTGTTCTTTATTCTGTATATAAGAGCCATTTCTAAACTTGAGCAAAATTCTTATAAATCTACTGGGCAAAGTCCAATCAGCAGAGCATCAGCAAGAAGCCAGTTTAATATTTCTATTGCTTAAAAGATCCCTTAAAAGATAAATTTAGGTTAGAATAATTTGAGTTTAGCATTTATTTATTTCTCTCTTCCAGCTTTTTTCTCTGCTTTTGTTCTAAAACCAAATCTTCATGAATGCAATTAGCATCTGTAATGTGGGACATGCTAATGGTATTTTTTTATTTTGTTTTATGAATACACAAATGTTGGCTCAGAAATAAATCTTAGAAAAATGAAAAATATTTTCTTTATAAAGAGCAGACTTGAATTAATCTTAGAAAGAGGTAGCATATGAATAAAAGTCCCAGGATCACAAGCAGCCCTCTCTGTCTTGATTAAGACACACTACATTTTATTAAACAGATGCAGTACAGATGAAAAATATCGATAGATGCAATCAGTTGAAATCTATTTCAGGTAATTATGATGTAAAGAGTCCACTTATAATCTTTTTCTTTTATTATTTATTTATTTAGTTTTGCACTAGGGATTGAACCCAGAGGCATTTTATCATGAGCTACTTCCCTAGCCATATATACATATATATATATATATATATATATATATATATATTTTTTTTTTTTTTTTTTAATTTTGTGACCCTCATTAAGTTGCTTAGGGCCTCACTAAATTGCTGAGGCTGGCCTTGAACTTGTGGTCCTCCTGCCTCAGCCTCTTGACTCACTGGGATTATAAGCAAGTGCCACCACAGCTGGCTCTTTTTCTTTCAGAGCTTGATAGAGGAATGAAAGGACACGTTGTATCTGAGAGTGCTTCAAAGTCACATTGCGGGGCAGGGAGAACTACAGAGGCAGAAATGGAATGCTGGCCAAGAAATGACAGCCGCTGAACTGGTTGCTGCAGATTCACTTTGTGCTTCTGTTTACACATGCACATAGTTAGTCTTTACCATAGCAAAAATTAAATCATATTCATCAACACAGGCGACTGGAATGAAAGTGGAGAGTTACAAAAGATAAGGCTAAAACCCATCCATAGCAACCATCCCCAAAGTTATCTGTTTTGAAGTTGGGAGTTTAGAGTACTCCATCATTTTAATGGGGTACTTTGATAGCTTATTTAACCCATCACAGGGCAAAATTTGACAAATAACACTTTTTTTGTTGATGACATCAACACCAGAGAGCAGGTCACACAATTTCAGATGGAAACTCACTTACGCTTGGTATGATGGGAGGAGTCAAGGTGCCCTTCCTCAGACCTTCCCAGTTAAAGCCCTCAAACCATCTAGGAAAGGAAAAAACATCATCAGAGGCATAGTACCTTCTCTGGCGTCTTCCAGAACAACACGTAGGGTTTGTGTGCCCTAGAAAGCGATTAGGCTAATATCTTCCTGTGACAAAATGCTTTCTCTTGAATCATATGTTTTTCAATTATCTTATCTCATAAAAAGCATATTTTGAAAGTGTGATTGTCAAATTTGAACACCAACCGCTATGCAACTGTTTTTCTTGTCATTTCAGTCGTAATATCTGTAGGACCTTGTTCCTCCATTGTCATTATAATTTATAAATGTCATAATATGATTGGCCCTGTGCCTTACTAGACTCTTTTATTTTAAGGAGATAGAGTCAGGCGATGAAGTGAGGACAGAAAATTAACTTTCCATCTCTGCCATTGATTCAGAGTGCAGCCTAAGCTAATTACCCTTTTCATAGTCCTCTATTTGTCTCTTCATATCCCAATTTCCTCACTTTTTTTTTTCCTTTTTAAGATAGAAAAAAGGTATTTTATATACAGCTTTTCTGTGAAAATAAGAAGAACATACTGGCATAGGAAGGTGTTTTCCTTTTGTTCAATGAAGATGCCACCATTAGCAAATGTGTACACCAAATTCTTAATAGGCCTTCTAGATTTCAGATAGTTCAGTAAATAAGTTCCTTTGATAAAGATATGAATTTCTTGGGAGTGTCAGGTAAGCAGGCTAAGAGAAAAATCAGTCTATGTTTAGATTAGCTTTGGAACATCCAGCGAACCTGGATGTTACCTACATTTCAAAAAGGGTGTACTCTGTACTGCTTTCCTGTTATATTTAATTGGGAGATAGTTGGAAAAATATATATTTTGGCTTTAATCTAAAAAATTTAGGTATGCTATAGTGGGCAACTTTGTTTTTAATATTCTAGTAGGGAGTAGAGTCCCTAAATTAAAAATAAACATTTTTTGTTTTCCTTTGGGCCAGAGAGGAAAAAGAAATGCTAACTAGTGTGAGTTCAGAGCAACTGAATCAGTGAATTTGCTATAGCCACAGGGTTGTCACATATATCTAAGTACAGCTCAGGAGGAAGGGCCTTGGAAAGGCTAACCTGTCTCTACAAGCTCTTTGGCTGTTCCTGTAGGAGAGCTGTATCCCTTATACACCAATAACTCTAAACATATCAAAATACACCACCCGAACTGTCTGAACTCTGACACCTAAAAGTTATTAAGAAAGAGGACTTACTTGTGCTTTTGAATGTCTTTCACTCCGTTTTTCAAATTTCCTAATCTTTCCGACGGGTTGTCCCTGAAAGTAAAATAATCATTTTGTTAAGTAATCTAATTATTTCCACATTATGATCCTTTCAAAAACAATGTGTTTAAAACAATTACCTGCATAGTTTTTTGATTAAGTTAGCAGCATTTTTGGCAATCTTCTTTGGAAATTCTATCATGTCAATCCCCCTCAATATGATGTTATAGGTTTTCATAGGATCTGGGCCTGAGAAAGGTGGGCTGTGAGAATGAGAGCAAGACATGATCAGAGACATTATTTTTACTTTCTAAATAAGAATGGTGAAATTTATAAACTCCAAAAATGATACCAATTCTTATGTTGGGGCTTACATTAGTAGTGAAAACAAAAAGAAATTCAATTAGCAGCTAAACACTATGCAAGCCCTTGGCAAAAACCATAAATGGGTGAGGTTTCTCTGCTGTTCCCCTCATTTCTGTTTAGTGCAGGTGCCTAGCTTCTTGCTGTCCTTGGTCATTAAAAAACTATCCCTTAACTCTTTGGCCTTTTTCACGCCAATCAACTTTATCCAGGGTTTTTGTTTCTTTGAGAAGAAATCTTGTGGATTATTTTATTTTTGTACTACATGTTTATTAATAGAAGTTTAAACTATTTCCTTTTATTCAGTAGATGTAAAATAGAAGCCCATTTGCTTTTGTTGAGGGATGTGACGCTATCTGCCTCATTTTCTGTAATAATTATTTTCTGTTTACTTTAATATGTTATTAGCTGTAAGTCAATTTTAGTCACTTTTAAAATGAATAAACATGAGATGATGTTTAGTATTCTCTTAGAATTTAAAAAGTTTTGTGTGATGTTACAATTGAATATTCTCTTTCTTAGGAATTTTGATCTTTAGTTTAAAAAGTGAGGAAGACACAAATCTGGCATTTTTTATGAATTGAATGCATTTTAATTCATGATTTTGCTTTTATATTTATATGTTTATCTTAGATAAATAGAACCAATTTTTTAAAGAAGGCTTTTGTGGTTTTTCAGAAGTGATGCACATACAGTCTAAGATATTCAGGCAATACGTAAAACTTAAAATTACTTAAAAGAAAAAATTATCAAATACCCCAAATATTAATTATCAGCATTTGATTAACATAATTTTGTATTTTTATCTGTGTAGATGGAAAAACATGGATTATATTACACTTGATTTTGAAAAATATAGGCATTCAATTTACTTTGACTTTATTCAACTGAGGAGTAAAACTAGAAATATGGTAAGATTCAAATAGCAATTCTTTAATGACAATATAAATTCCTGAAAGTTTTCTCTAAAGTAAAGAAATTTATAAAAACTTTGAATTTATACTTTCTTTTTTTAAAAAATAACATGCTTCAGCTTTTCAAAACAATTAAGATTCCTAATTATAAATGATGAGGTATAAGTATACATATAGTTAGTTCTATTTTCCTCCTACTACTTCAACTTTGGTTGGTTTTGGTATTGTTTTAAGATTGTTAAAAATTATAAGACTTAAATTCTGTACAGTAATACAAATTTAAATTATTTCAACTAAATTCTAGTTTTTAATGCAAAACTCTCCATCGATCCTTTTTCTAGTTTTTCTGATCCTGAGTGCTTTATTTGGACTCATCTTTCTGTGGACTTGGTCATGTAGAAGTGTTTTTGAGAAATGTCTCAGTACATTATATGTTGCATTTGTATTTTAAGAATAAACTGTCTTGTCTTGATATAAATACTTGGGTTTATACCATAAAATTCTCCAAGAACTACATAATACTTGGTATATTATCTTTAAGCAATAAAGGTGTCTAGAAAAGGTACAGCAACTCTAATCCTCCTCACAGTCAACACCATACATGATGTAATTTTGATGGCAATATGATTATCTTTGTCACTGAATTTGGAAAATCATACTTGACACATTGTGGTGTTATTTTTCTGAAGGTTATATCATGATCACCAGATATCAAAAGTATACACTGAGGGGCCAGGGTTGTCACTCAGTGGTAGAGTGCTCACCTAGCATGTGTGTAGGACTTGAGTTCTATCCTCAGCACCACATAAAGATACATAAATAAAGGCATTGTGTCCATCTACAACTAAAAAAATATATTTAAAAAAGTATACACTGAGTCAAGTATTTATGTGATAAATTTTCTATTATGCAATTAAGCTTTTCCTTCCAATTTGTAATATCCTATTCACACATACAATTGTGCTTTTCTATTTCCATTGACTTCTACATCCTCTTTCTACAAAAATTTCTGGATCTTTACTTTTCCATTTTTCCAACCTATGTACTATCTCTACAGCTACACTTTTTTTCTTTTCATTCATTTTTTTTAACATTTAAAAAGTTTTATTTTTAACTGATGCATAAAACGTAAAAAGCATACATATTAATGGATTCCATATAATGTGTTGATACATGTATACTTTGCATCATACTTAAATTAGATTAGAAACATTTATCTCCACAAATGATTATCATTTATTTATAGTGAAAACTGTCAAAGTCCTTTATTGTAGCTTTCTGAAATGTGCAGCATAATATTGACATCTATAGTCACCCTACTGTGCAGTAGCACACCAGCACTTCTAACTCGTATCTAACTGTACCTTAGTACCCATTGACCAACCTCTCCCCATTCCATCACTACCCTGTACGGTTTCCAGCCTCTGATAACCACTGTTCTTCACTCAATTTCTAAAAATCAAGTTTTCCAAATTCTACCCAGAAGTAAATCATACAATATTTGTCTCCCTGTGTTTGGTTCATTTCACTTAACATAATGACCTCCAGCTCCTTTCTATGCTGCTTGTGGCAAAAGTCAGTCTTTCATCCTTTAAAATGGTCAAACAAGTGTTCCATGGAGTATATGTACCACATTGTCTTTATCCACATATTAGCTGATGGATACTTAGGATAGTTCCAAATTTGGGCTATTGTGAATAAGACTGCAATAAACAGAGGAGTGCAGATGTCCCTCAACAGACTGATTTCATTTTCTTGGCTATATACCCAATAATGGGATTACTGGATCCTAGACTATAATTCTATTTTAAATTTTAAGGAAAGCCATGCCTATGATGCCTTTTCTTTTCCCTCTCTACATCTAAGTCCCAGTCTTCCTTTTAAAGGGTTGGCACTATAGGTCTTCAATTCTTGAAAAGCCTTCTGGACAAACGTAGTTCTCTACCAAACTCTGTGGGTCATAAGGCCCTTCCACTTTCTGTTCTTACTATATTTCGTAGTTATGTATTCACGTCTCTGTTAATGTTGGTCTTTGGGGAGCTTTTAATCTGTTTCATGCCATGTGATATTCCTAATGCCCATTTTGGTTGTTGTTGATTACAATATTATACAAATAGTCAGCAACACATTCACGTGTTGTGAATTCACACATTCACACACATATATAAAATTGCTAAGTAGTCCTCTTAATTCTATGTTAACCCTTGAAATTTTAAGATTATCATTTCCCTTGCTTCATTGTCAGCTACAAGATTAGACTCAAAATCTCAAATTAAGACACTGGATCCTTCTACATTCACATACGTATAAGGACTTAGCAATAATGAGACTAAAAATTGGAATCGATTTGGTTGTTTTCATTGGACGTATTTTAGATCTTTGTGAATTGTCATTAGCATAAATAATTAAAGTGTGAGATATGCTGAAATCTACCTAGATGGACTAATCACAGTGACAAAGTCAGGAATGTAAAATTGTATGTGGTCTATTTTTACTAGCAGTTCCCTATAAATGTCCATACCTGCCAGTCAGAAGTTCATACATTAGAATTCCCAATGACCAATAGTCAGCTGAAATGTCATGACCTTTGTTTAAGATGATCTCTGGGGCTACATACTCTGGAGTCCCACAAAAAGTCCATGTTTTCTTTCCAAATCCTATTTTCTTTGCAAAGCCAAAATCAACCTTAAAAAGAGAGAAAGATAAGATAGTAAGCCACTTATGATTAGGTTGTAATGCAATAAATTATTTTGCTGAATCATGAAAATAAAAAATAACAGATCCAGGCTATTATAATTTTCTTTTCTAAAAGGAATCTTGTATCCTGCAAACAATTATTACCCTGATTGAACCCTGTTGCAGTGTGAAAAGTTGGACCCGAATATTGAATTATATTCACATCATTAATAAGAAAAGCAAACTTTCTTTCCTGAAGATTTTTTCATTTTTCCCTAATTTTATGCCACCAGACGTTGTGGCATAAAGAAAAAATTTCCTCTTTCCTCAAAAACATTAGAAATCCAAGTGCTCCTACCCAACAGCTTTCCCAGAATATACTGATTTATGCTGGACTTTATGCAATTGACAATTTAATTAATATTAATTATTTGAGAAGGCACGTTATCATTGAAAGAAATAGTCCTGGGTTCTATGCTCAGCACCACATAAACAAATAAAGGTATTGTGTCCATCTACAACTAAAAAAAATATTAAAAAGTATACACGAATCTGCCCCTGGTAAACATGAATAAAATAAGAGTGGAACCTTATTTTTTCAAGAAACCTTTTAAAAGAGGAGCTGCAAATGCAGAAAATCTATTTCTTTTCTAAAACAATTTGGATATCACCTTAAATAATTAACTGTATTGATTTGATTTCTTTAAGAACCATATGCTATATAAAAATCCCAAAAGCTTAAAAATGGAATCAGGCACTGACAGATCCAAGACCCAGAAAATTTGTACATTTTAAAATAGGAGAACTTCCATTCTACAGTAAATCTTTAGAACTTTTGACATTATCATTATTATCATCATCATCATCACCTGAGAACATTATTGGCAGAGTTCAATTTTTACCATTAGCATTTTTCTTAAATAAATACTATTAAAATGATTCATAGTTGACTATATTATAAATGTGCCTTGCCTGTGGATGGCAGAATTCTGACTAGGAAAAATAACCTATAAGCTCTTTTAGGTCTATGAACATGCACCAGCAATAGTGTTTCCTAACGCTTGTAAAAAAGCATGTTTTGCCAGAGTAGTATCTGAAACTTAGACAACATAATTTCTTATAACTTTAACATAATTTGAAAATATATTTAGTTGAAAACTCTAATGCTAAATCCTTCTTTTAAGAAAAGTTGTAACACTGTAGTGGAAACCAGATTTTAATGTTAGCAAACAAAGACAGTTTTATAAATGGATATTTTAAAACTTTCAGAACAGAACCCATGTATGAAAAGCACTGACCAGTTTGGCATAACCTCGATGATCTAGGATGAGATTTTCTGGCTTGAGGTCCCTGTAAATGATTCCTTTGGAATGCAGATAGGCAAAAGCTTCCACCACACATGCTGTGTAAAATCTGGTTGTAGAATCTTCAAATGAACCTCTGAGACACAGACAATGAAATGAAAAGTGTATAAAAGTTAGTTTCTCTAATAAGGTTAATTTTCCTTCTCATTTCGCTATATTCCTGGGCCAAAATTTAGCCCAGAGACCAAAGTCTGCCTATCTAAATGTCCTATAAGTGCCATTCATTCCACTGGGTTTTCTAAAGCATTTCAGGATCAAGCCAAGAGATTTTCTGTCCTTATGTGTGGGATAGTAAAAATCTAACTTCCTGAAAGGGATCAAGAAGAGTTCAAGCACATTCCAGGTTTCAGGTATGTGGTGGCTTCCTCTTAACAGCCCACCACAATCCACACAGGAACAGAGTTTCAGCAGTAGGCAGGGAAGAGAGTCAGTTCTATTTTAGAGTTTATCTACCACACATATGCTTCTTAAAGGAGTAGTTTAAGGATTTATTCCTATGTACTTTTAAAGAGCTTGTTTCTCAGTCTTTCTAAACATTGTAGATATAGTTCATGAGAATGCAAAATAAATAAAATTAAATTAAAAAGCTCATGTTTTTAAAGAACCATGTTGGAATCGGCTTCAATGAGCTCTGCTTTCAAAAATTCTGTCATCAGGACAAAAGTTTCCTACACTACAGCCTTCTTATTAGTAGGAGGAGATGGAGCTAAAAGACAATTTGGAAAAAAAGGTAACTAAAAGGGAATATTCAATTGATTATAATTTTTAGCAAGAAAATTCTGTCTCTTGTCTCTGTATGTAGAAGTGCATGTAAAACCTAAAATATACAACCACATCTGTGTCTATATATAGATTGACAGAATGAAATAACAATAAAGGAAAACAAAAACAAAAAAAAAACCCTTGACATCTAAGGTTGATTCCTTGATTCTACATCAGAATCTTCCTACTTTAGCTGTTTTTTCATGGAACAACTTAAAAAATAAACTTCCTTTTTGCAGTAGTAAGCTCAATTTAAGAACTGTGTAATTCAAGAAAAAACTCAAAGTGGCTCAAAGACATAGATAGGAATTAGACCAGAAACCCTGCATCTGTCAGAAGAAAATGTAGGCCCAACACTCCCAACATATTGACTCAGGAACTGACTTCCTTAACAAGACTCTGAAAGTGGAAGAAGTAAAATAAAAAATCAATAAATGAGATGGTATCAAACTAAAAAGCTTCTTCATAGCAAAGGAAAGAATCAAAAGCATGAAGAGAGAGTCTACAGAACGTGAAATAAACCTCTGCCATCTGCACCTCAGGGCATTAATACCCAGGATGTAGAAAGAACTCAAAAACTTTAACACCAAAAACAAACAAACATGGGCTGGGATGTGGCTCAAGTGGTAGCGTGCTTGCCTGGCATGTGTGCCGCCCGGGTTCGATCCTCAGCACCACATGTTGTGTCCGCCTATAACTAAAAAATAAATATTAAAATTCTTTCTCTCTCTCTCCCTCACTCTCTCTTTAAAAAAAAAAAATAAAAAAATGAAACAAACAAACAAACTTCCTGAAAGGGATCAAGAAGAGTTCAAGCACCCCAATCAATAAATGTGCAAAGGAACTTAACAGATACTTCTCAAAAGAAGAAATATGAGTGGTCAAAAAATACATGAAAAAATGTTCAAATCTCTAGCAATCAGAGAAATGCAAATTAAAACTACACTAAGATTTCCAGTCAGAATGGCAATTAACAAGAATACAAGTAACAATAAATGTTGGTTAGGAAATGGGGGAAAAGGTGCACTCACACACTGTTGGTGGGACTACAAACTGGTACAACCACTCTGGAAAGTATTATGGAGATTCCTAAGAAAACTAGGAATGAACCACCATTTGACCCAGATATTCCTCCAAAGGAGTTAAAATCACTGCACTACAGGGACACAGCCACATCAATGTTTATAGCAGCACAATTCACAATAGCTAAGCTATATGACCAACCTAGGTGCAAATGTGGCATATATACAAAATAGAATATTACTCAGCCATAAAGAAGAATGACTTTATGACATTTGACAGTAAGTGGATGGATTTGAAGACTGTCATGTTAGGTGAAATAAGCAATTCATCAAAACCAGAGGTTGAATGTTTTCATGAATTTATGATAGCTAATCCACAATAAGGGAGGGGGTAGAAATTCGGTAGATTAGATAAAGAAGGGAAGAGGGATAGGAAAGGAAAGACAGTGGAATGAATCTGACATAATTTTCCTAAGTACATGCATGAATATGTGAGTAAATGGCAGAAAGATCAATAGAGGGAAGGGAATAGGAAGTGGGGAAAGGGAAGGAGGAGAGGTACTAGGGTCTGAACTAGAACATGATATAGTGCATGCTTTTATTATTATGTCATAAAAGATTCTACTGTCACTTATAACTAAAAATAACCAATAAAAAATGAGTATGAACACCAGTTCTTGAGATGGCTGGGTTGGAACACAAGCAACAAGCCCAGAGATAGCTTGAGGTACTTTGCAATGAACAGTAGGCAGCAGCTTGCTCTGTTTGCATTTTGGTGACATTTACTTCTTTGTCAAAATTGAAGACAGAAATCTAACAAACTGGGCGGTGAAATATGAATACTTTTTTTTCCCCCAAATTTATCAGTGAATCCAAGGCTATAGCAGCCACCTTTCAGGTCATTTTTCAGAAGTAGTGTGTTTCTTCCAATTATTCATGTCCCTTGAATTGTCACTGAAATAATCAGCTTTTTTCTCAAAGAAATATCAAATATATATATATTTGTAAGCATGGTGATATCCACTCCTCTCAATCATTACTAGGATTTTAGCCATAAGTACCAAGATTCTTGAATCTCTTATTAAGGATATCTGAATGGAACTATTGTGGATTTATGAGGGTAAGAGAAAGTTTCTTGGAGAAACCCTGCATCTGTAATAGGAACTGAGTGGTAATTTTTAAGCTGCAATTGTCCTCTGACTTATACTATCCTTGGCAGAGCTAAGACTATATAATCCCAGTTACTGAGAAAGGAATTACAGTATTGCCTTGAAACCTCATTCTTTGCCCATAATTAAGTTAAATGTGTTTGTCTGTCAAGAACAGTACCTTTCCGTAAATAGGAGAGATTATTTGTTTACATGGTAAACTTGTTTATTTTTTAAACACACATCTTAATCTATACTGAATATGAGCTCAGTCCCTCCTCAGTGGAAAGCATTGCAAAGAAAAACAAAACAAAATTGTACATGGAATAGAGTCTGGTTAAATTTTGTAGTATGTCTTGTTTTAATCCACAAATGGGTTATTTCCTGACATCAAGGCTAACTGTGATTTCAGTGGGCCTTTTTGAAGGATTACGAATTCTTGACTACTGTTTGAAGAAGAAATTATTTCTGCAGTTGTGACTCTGGACATTTCTCCGCTGTCCTTAATATCAGCCTTTAATGGACCCCAATTACAAATGTATTTTTATTGTTGTAATGACAGAAGATATGGGACAGTTTACTTTTTCACGAAATCTCTGCAGAAATGTATGCTTATATTCTGAATAAGCTGGTCATTAACAGAAAGATGAAAAAATTCTAGTACACACTCAGGTTTGGGGGAGGAGGCTGCAGGTTAGAAATATGGACTTGGGCTCAACATTAGGTTTCATTTACTGTTTCTTTTTCTTTTTTAAAATTTATTGGTTCTTTTTAAATATACATTTAGAATTCATTTTGATATAATTATAAAAGCCTGGGCACTTACGGTTGATCTTCAGTAACTACATATTTCATTGAGTTTCAGTGTTCTCCTTTGCACTATGTTGCTAATAATAGTTATTGCCTCGTTTGTGTTGTTGTGAGGATTCAAAAATTAATACCTACATGTATTTGGATAAGTGCCTAGCATACAAGTGATACTCAATAAATATTTCACTATAACTGAACACCAAAATTCTTCTTTGGCAACTGTATCTTAAACTAGGAAAATTAGCCCATATCATAGAGGATAACAGGTCGAAAGTCTTTGGTTGTGGGTGGTGAGGAATTTGCCACACTAACTCTCACTGTTAGTGAAATGCTTCTCACTGCCATGAATCAGCTCTGCAGAAATCTCTGCTAAATCTATTCTTTCCATTTCCCAATATTTCTCACAAAAATTACCCTCATGTTGCCTGCCAATCCAAATCCTCCCTTTTTCTCCATGAAGTTAACTGACCGCAATTCATACATCTTTTGTCATCAATTCCCCAAAGCCTATTTTCAGGTTTCTTTGTTCCTGAGCCAATTTGGAGGGTCTTAGAATGTTGGTTTCTATTTCTTCAAAAGACTGTACCAAGTATCTCCCATACACAGATATATTTGTAACATATTTTAAAAACTAAATGATGACCTTGAAAAGTCAACACAGTATACACATGCAAAGTGTTTATCAGCAACACATTGTTTCATCACTAAATACTTGATATATGAAATTTGAGAATTTAAAAATATACATCTTGAGGGCAGTCACAAAGCATAACATTAGGGTGACTCAGAAGGAAAAATTACTATTAGAATTGGAAATGACAATGTAAATTTGATCTAAAATAGAAGTGAAAGCTTGTTTAATCAACAATTTAGAGAGTTGCTTAAAAAATAAATTGCTTGACCTAGATAGCTCTTTGAAGTTAAAAAAAAATTGTGCCTTGACATCTGTAACATTTCATGAAAAGTAAGGGATAGATTCTTGTGCCTTTTTGGAAATGGGTGGTTGTTTTTGCTAAATGATAGTAGATAACAGTTTGAGAAAATTAGAGGGTTATATGTATGTATTGACAAACTCAAATTAAAATTTAATCACAGTGTTTAATCATCTTGTCATAAACTGAGTCCTGAGACATCAGACATCAGAATATAACAAAGACAAAATATCTCTTGTCAAAAGTGACTAGGATACATTGACTAGTGGCAACAATCATTAATGGCTATATAAGTCTAAAGTGTGTCGCAATCTGTGAAGCTTATTGCCAATAGTAAAGTTAGGGAGACAAAATATGATGAAGAGAGACTCATTTCTTTTGACATACATTCAATCTAAGCCATCTATTAGGTCATTAAAAATGAAATTTAAATATTTATCTTACACAATATAGACAGAAATAAAAAGAATGGACATAAAAATACTTGTTAACTTGTGGGATTATAAATTATATCTAGGAAAACATATGAATAGAAAGTGAGATTCTGTGAAATTTGAAAAATATAGTTTCTGAAGTAATTATCTAAGATATTCAGTAGAAAAATTAACATTAAAATTCTAATAAAATATATTCGGATGTTAAATTTCACTGGATTAAAATTTTATTAATATATTAAAATTTTATACTATTAAAACTAATATTGATATTATGAATATGCTAACATATACTGAATATTAATATATGTATTTATATATTTATTTATCATATTAACCAATTACATTTTTAAAAAGTTGCAGAGGTTGCCAATTCTTTGTTGAGAAGGAAGACAAATAAAATATAATTTGTCTCCAAAACTTATTGGAGACAAAAAGTCACCAACTAGAAGATAAAATGTTACAAATATTAAACCATGGAAATAGTAGAAACAGTTAACATTTTAGTAGTATAGCTCAAGCCTCAAAATAAAAAAAATTCATTTAATAGTCCTCAAATTCTATTCATACATTAGTATCATTTTAATTCTCATTTCTTGACAACAAATGAAGAACTGTTCTGTGTTCCTTTTCTATGCTGATGAAAAGAAAGAGAAAAGCAGTAAATAGTCATCTCAGCTGAAGGTAGGAGAAGGAGGGTGTCTGAGACTTCCGATGCAAAATCTCAAGCTCAGAGATGTTTCATGGCAGGAAGGAATGTGGTCTTGTAAGCTTTCCTTCAAATGAATCCCAATTTTCTTCGTGTCTTTTAAAGATAGCTTCTCCCTCACCAATACTTCCTTGCCCACAAGGGGAAAACTGTTGAGAGCCACAGCCCAGTCAGAATGATGCCTGGCATTTGCCAGAGGGAATGGTTGAAAGGTGACCACCAGCGAACCATTGAGATGATGATTTGAGTTAAGCTGTATATAATTGCTGTGATGCTGGATTGATTGTATTGTATATTGGACCTTTACTGTCGGGCAATAGGGCAGCTCTTGCTGCCTCGGTCGCCCTACTTTGGAGTTCCCTTGAGTTCTCGAGGGGGTTCGGGGAGATTGGAGGGAGCCTGGTGGAGGGAGTGTGTTCACGTGTGGTGTGTGCAGTGCCAGTGAGATGAGAATAAAGAGTCTCTGTTTGAATCTACAAGGCTTTGTGGCAGCTCAGTTATTTGTGCCCAGCCAGACTGCGGCAGAAAACTGAATGAATTGAATTGAACAAGGCGAGGTTTTTGATTTGTTTGTTTTTATTACAGGTATTTTCATATGCACTGTGACTAATAGCATAGGAGCATAATCTTTTGCTTGCCATTTTTTTGGTTTGTTTCTTTTTAACAATTTTTAGTCCCAATTTAAACAAACAGAATCAATGGCAATATTAACTGAAGTCTGGATGCCCCAAATTATTCTTTTCTTACCAGCAATGGAAAAGAAAAAGGAAGGCCATGTAGAATAGAAGCAGTAAGGCTATAGGTATTCTTACAAAAGAAAGTTGGCAGGGACGATGATTCTGAGTCATTTTACATGCACCAGTTCCATTGCTTTTAAGGTTGAAGCTCCAGCATTTCTGAATCTTTGGGAAGAATCAAGTAGCCCCTAGTTCTCTGGATCTAGCCTCTTCACAGGGTATTAAGTGCATTGGGGGACTCAGCAACGTTGTACCCAAAACTTAATGATGATGGGGAAGGAAGAAGGAAGGCCCAGAAAGCAGCCTGGTGGAGGGAGAGAAATAGGACTCCATTCCTATTTTCCCACCATCCACTCACCCAAGGAAGTTGCTACTTCACAGTGTCCTTATTTACCCCAACAAATCAAAATGTATCTCACTCAGAAGGCATGACTGGAGTTGATTATCAAGTGGAATACAAAAATTAAGTTATGTAGGGAAATAAATGAAATAACATTCATTTGGAAAAGTGATGACGGTGCCTGTTTCAGGTCTCATGAGAGGACTGCACACATAGTTTTATCATGATTTTTGTTGTCTTGTTGGTAATGGAACTTAAGAAGTTTTTAAAAAATGTTATGGGAATAGAGCTGGTCCTTTCTCTGTATAGCTTATTATTTGCTTTCCTATGTAATTCCAATTGAAAATCTCATCCAACTCTAATTATAAAAAAAAAATAGGGGAGAGATTTTAAGTAAATAAATAGACTGAAGTGTCAGATCAAACATAAACTGTAGAACCATATTAAAATATACCAGCTATTAATTCACAAATCAAAATATTAACTTAGTGAAATAGTCTGCAAATTCTGAGGAGTGGAACTACATCTGCTTTATTTATTGAAGTATCCCCAGCCTCTGTCACAATGCCTGGGATATAATCTGTCTTCAAATAGGAATTCAAATGTTAATATGCTCTAATAAAATAGCTTAGTACAGATATTAAACTGATCCCTAATGTTAATATACTGAAATCCCTTATATGCTTTCTTACCTATTCCCTTATTTACTTTTTAAAGAAATCAAACAAAACACTAGTATAATAGAATGCAATATGGTAAAACCAAATCCATTTGACATATGTAAGTAAGGTCAAGGAAATAAAAGAACTGAAAGAACGTGTTGTACAAAGATATGAAAGTACTATGAGAATGCCCTTAGGAATGAGAATTTAAATTGAGAGTTTATAAAGAGCTACTTGTTCTATACCAGGATATCTACAAAGTAACAAATGTCAAAAAAAATTACAGGGTCCCTGGGAACATCAGGGCTATCTACAGATAAGTTTTAGAAAGATGTAACCCACCAGAGAGTCTGAGGAGCAGGACTGAAATAATAAGGAAAAGAGAGATGTCTAAATGTGAAAGTTTTAAGGAGCAAAGATGACTTTGGCAAGTCCAGTAGATCGTTTATAGGAAATAACTGAAAGAGTATTCATAGGAAAGTAAAATTTGATCTCTTTTATTTGAAAAAAAAAGATAGGTAGTGACATTCTGAGATATTTTATAGGATAGTTTTAAAAAAGATAATTTGCTACTTATATAAATATGAGATGAAAAATTGAGATATAATGAATTTTAATAATTAAAAGAAACAAGCACTATTGAGACAAACTTTACTTTCCCTGGAAGGGTAGAAAAGTAAAACCAAGTCAGATTGTTTACATGAACTGTTATGAATAAAGGATTCATTTGTCTGTAAGATCAGCAAAGTCTAAAAGAGATGACTAGAAACTTGTATTAATTTTGAAGAGCAATAAATTGAAAAAAAAGTTTGTAGTGCCATGAAAGGCAGATTGCCCATATGAAAAAGTGAATTCAAACTATAATCATAAAATGTCTGTAATTATTTTCAAGTTAAAGCAATGTGTTAATTCCAGGTATAGAGATTTCTGATTCTGACACTCATGCTAAGCTGAGATCTGTGTATGTGCTTTTCTAAGTGTCTTTTTTATGGTAGACTAAGCCTATATCATTATTTTCATAGTGAATTTTATATGTATTATAATAAATTATACATGTATAGTGGATTGTACCTTTTGTTTAACTTATATTTTAGAATATAAATATATGTAAAATGTAAATGTAATCTTTATACTTTATAATAATGGACTGACTGTTCTTATAGATCATCAGGGGCAACTATGTTTTTAGATACACAATAGAATTTTCTTAAATCTCCTACCTATCCCTGAGAATGGTCCAGAGCTCTCCACCTAGGCAAACTTCCATCAACATATACAAATATTTGCTGTCCTTAAATGTTCTGTATAGCCTGTGAATTACAAATAAGAAAGTAAAGGTTATGAACACTATAGTGTTTTAAACACATTCAAAGTTTTTAAGTTTTAAGAAATTAGTTTTTCCTTTATTTTCTTTTAATTGACAAGTACTAATTTTACATATTTATGTGGTTCAGTACATACTTCAATACATATTTACCCTATTTCATAATCACATCAGAATATTCAGCATATCTATTGCCTCACATATTTATTGTATAAAGTTAGAATTAGGAGGAATAGTTCTGGTGCTCCTCTGGAGTGTAGGGAACTAAGGCTGCTATTGTATTGAATATTTCAAAATAACTAAAAGAGTTTGATTGTTTTTATCACAAAAGTCTGCAAATTTCTGAGTGACTAAATTATAGTTTGTTGATACTGCCATGCTTAAAATTTTATCAGAAGAAATGAAAGAGAATTAAGTCCACAATCTGGGAAGAGGATCCAAGGGCAAGTGACTTACACACCATGGGGCCATGTAGCTCCCTTGTGGTGGATCAGTTCAAATTATTGCGGACAAGAAGGCTTCATGGGATTCTATAGAGTCCAATTTGGATGATGTATCTGGCTTGGACTCATTAGCAGAAACTTTTAATGGGCATAAACATGCAGTGTGTATGGATATAAGTAAGGATATAAAGTTGATCAAATTTTATATATAATGTATGAATTTCATGTGGTATTCACTTAAATTCATATTATACCTTATCTTGTATAAATGCCATGGCAAGTTAAGTACAAAAGCTTCTTCTACATATATTAAAAAACCCTCCCAATTATCCTATTATTAGTGTTTGTGAAATATTGAGGTGGAAGAATCAATTGTCATTTCATTAAAAAAAATCTTCCAAAAATTAAGTTAAACAGCTTGATTTTTGACATTTTGTCTTTTAAGCACCAGAGGTCTATGTACCATTGTAGGTAACAGGACGAAAATGAAATCTTAGAAATTGATACCTCCTTTGGGAAAAGCACATCTTTTTAGAGAATCTGATTCTCTAAAAAAAAAAAAAAATGAAAAGAATAGAATCAAAACTTTATATTTTTTTAATTAAACAAAACTTTAAATTCCTTTATGCAAATGAGATGTGTGAAGGGTGAGCACAAGCGGCAGAGGATCTGTGGTTGATTTGCCACTGGAGTTGGTGCTGGGACATTTACCTCACTATGAAGTCGGAATGAGCCCCCTGCATGATATGCTTCTCTGAGCGGATGTGCTCCTGCTGTCTGGTATCCACAATGTGGCGTTTCTTGAGAATCTTCATTGCAAATGTTTTGGATTCTTCACTTTTCAACTGGACCTTAAAGAAAGGCAGAAGAGAAAAGAGAAGAGAAGTCTAAAGATCTAATACAACAGAGTGCACTGTTATCCTGAAATGAACAGGTACATGGGGCACTCACAGCCTAAGTTTAAAGCCCACAGTGCACAACCATTGTTTAGCCTCATTGCATTGGATGAGTTTTTGCATACTTGATTCCAAGCTGATTTTGTGCCCACATGGATTAGAAGAAAAATATACTTGTCATTGTTTCATTTCATGAAATGTGTTTGGGTATATTTTATAGTTTTTTCCTTTCAATCAAAAAAATTTCTTCTCTAATTTTACTTCAATCTTTATAGCAAATGTAGGACCATATGAATCTTTGTGCTCATTGTTCTTAGTCCTAATTTACAAACATTTTTAGAATCATTAAATTCAATGACCTTTGTCTGTGCTGGGACTGCAGATATATACACTGTACTGTTATTTCTTCTTTAAAAAAAAAAATCTCTCAATCTTTCCCCTTCTTGTCAAAAAGGAAAAAAAAAAGTAAACAAAATTTCTAAAAATTTGGAAAATTATTTTTTTCTTTCCAATATGCCTTATAACTTAAGTCTCTTTTGATATCAAATCTTATTCCTTGGTTTCATTAATTGGAGAGATCTAAGCTAAGATTTAATGTCACCGAGGTACCAAGACCTCTATGGCAGCCCTCATAGCTCCCAGTGGATCTGGAGGAGTCTTGGTATCTCCAAGTACTATACCTCAGACGGGCTGCTGGTCTCTGTTCACTTTTACAAGAAGTTAAACAAGGTGACTTATAAGGAAAGGAAGAGAGATAACTGAGCTAATTACTTAATAGCAATACAAAGGAGCTATCATCAAGTGCTCTTGAGCAGCAGAATCCTCAATGCAATACTGAGTGGCCCACATCTTAACAATCTAATGAAAGTTTTGGGGAAATAAACATGGCAAGCTGATTTTGATTTTCAGCTGAAGTATAGCCCTCCCCCTTTTAGCTGTGAATTATGTATGGCTTTCATCTGCAGGGATAGTGAAGTTCTTAAGTGCCCTGTCTATGCCTGTGGGTACAGACTGAATTCAACTTGAGAATACATTCATGTGGAAAGTTCCTTAGGAAGGAGCATGAGGATACTTCAAATAAATGAGTTTCAGTTTGCTGTCACCATTTGTGAATCTATGTGACAGGTTAGAGAAAAAGTGGATATTTGAAAATGCCACTAACACATAAAGGCCCTCTACTGTGTGTGCGAAACTCTTCAGGATAATGGAGTAGTGTGCTACAAATGGATTCAGTTGCAGTTCATAATAAAACAAAATATTAAAACCCACTTATAAAAGGAATCAAATAGGGAAGATGGAATAGCAAATGAGCTATATCAGAGGTACTAAAATTCAGAAGGGAAAGAGAGTCACATTCCCTCTTCAGAGTCACACCCAGTTAAACCACTTGCATAGACTAAATGCCTACTTTTAAAATTATCTCTTTATTGACAACTAAGGTTTTTCACTTGTACATAGGGAAGAGGAAAGAAGTCTGCTTTTATGGTCATAGGTCAGGACTTAATTTCTGACTCCAGTTAGTCACTCTTGGGCTAGTTGCTTAACTCCTCTAAGCTCCAGTTTTTTGCTGAAGATAATACCAGCTACTGTACAGAGTTACCAGGGCCTTAAACAAAATGGTACCACTGAATGAGCATTGTTTGATGATCTCTCTGCTTGTACTCTGGCCTTAACTGGAAATTCATACCAAATCAAATTTTGCTTTTTAAGATATTCCTTTTACAACATTGTCACTATCAAAAAAATTTGGAAACTATATGTCCATTAATAGGAGTATGGAAAATTAATTATGATAAGCTAGAATTACAATTAAAAATTTGAAAAAATAGCGCATATATATATATATATATATATATATATATATATATATAAATAGAAGGTATTAGTCATAAACCAGCCAACATTTTATGATATCATAAATAGTATACTTAGTGAGTGTATATCTACCTGTATAATACCTAAAATAAATTTATGGCAGGACAATCAGAAGGTTATCAGTACATTAACAATAGTTTTCCCTTAGGGAGATTTTTAGTTGTTTTTTTACTTGCTTTTACTTTTTGAATTATTTAACTTTTAATTAATGTATCATACTTATGTGATAAATAAAAATAAACTCTAGTTATAGAAAAATTAAAGTCTATTTTATATTGTAAAATTTAAGTCTATTTTATATTGCAGTAGCTACTTGTTGTTTTTGTATGACACTCGTAAAGTAATTTCACTTATTTTAGAATTCCATGAAAACAATGACCTTTATAAAGTGCATTCTATGTGATGCTATAACATAAAAATTTAATCAAGTTTTGGGTTAACCACACTATTCATTCCTTGGAGGACTTGTCATGGTTTTTTTCAATATAAACTCTTAGGGTAAGTTATAACAATTTGTATTTTGTGAACTGCAAGTATTATGTTTCACTGTGGAATTATTTTTAACAAAATTGATCTTTAAAATTTTTAAAGTGAAATTTAGTCTGCCTTTTCTTTTTTCCTATTTGCCAGATTAGTTACATTGAGTCCATGTATATGAATTTGAGATAGGGATGATTTTTTATTGGTTTGTAGCCAGTCAGCTAAGGGCTCAGAAATGAATGCTAAATGTGAATAGAGGTCGGCAAAGAGGAGGAAAAAAACACCTAAAAACACCTTTCCTTCTTCCTCTTGCCTAGGAATCTTACACAGTCCTGTGGACTAGGAAAGCACCCCAGATTGTCTTCCCTTGCAGACTATCCTGGCATGCTAAGGACACAGGAGACACACTAGTTGAGTATGAATGCTCCAATATTTAACTACCCTAGGCTGACTATCTTACTCAGGTTACTCGAACTCTCTGTATTCCTGTTTCTGCATTTCTAATACAAGAAGCCTCCTCATAGGTTACCTGTTAAGTTGAAATAGAAGGACCCACATATCAAAATTCCTGGAATAGAGTTAGCATTCAATGACTATTAATTCTCTTATTCTTTCATCTTCTTAGTTTAATGGTCTCTTCAGGTCAAAGCGCTGTCCTCAAAATATGCCCCACCTCTGGCTGAATATCACTTTGTTCCTATCCCAACCCCAGCCCACCTCAGTGCTACTAAATAAATAAGTTTGAGAAGCTACTTTAAGATTGTTGATGCTTATACCACAGTGATTTTACTCTCAGAATTCCTAGGGAGGAAAATTTACAAGAAAAAATGCTAATATTCAAGATTGTCTTTTATTTTATACAAGTAATACTATGTGCTATGTCAAATTAGAATTTTTAAAAGTTTCTTTTTGCAATAAAATGTGACTTCAATGTGAAGCATTATACTGACATTTAAATGAATGTATATTTGGGCAAAGTGACTCGTAACATGCAAATTTCTGACATGAATTTTGACAAATCTTAGCTGTCAGACTCCAGCTGATGCCAAAATGATACTACTTTGAAGAAAAGGTGAAGCAATCAGAATTTGAAAGTTTCAAAGACACACTTGCTGACTATATTTACACACCCCTTACTTCCCTTCTGGACTAGGTACTTCCTCCAAAAGACTTGTCTCCTGTTTGACTTAATTGTTTGCCCCTACTTTCAGGAAGAAGGGTAATGATTGGGACAAGGTTAAAACTGGCTCAGTGCTCCTGATTGCGAGCTGGTCCTTAGAATATATATCCATTCATCTATTTAACCTTTTCATTAAGAGTTCATATTTCATTTTGCACTATAGACAAATTTTCATTATTTTGAATAAAAATGACTTCCTGAACTACACTGTAAATAAAATTATTTCTTAAATGCAAGGCTTAAACTTTTAATATCACATGGCTCCTTATTATGCAAAATTACTAATGTGATCAAATTATTCTTTGATGCACTATAGGAAAGGGTAGCTTGCACTTAGGTAAGCTAATGCTGTAAAGCAAATATGATAAAGTGGGCCTAGTAAACCTCATATTGGAAATCTAGGTCCTAGTCCTGGTTATACAATCTCACTTGGCCTTCAGGTCACCTTCCTGAAAATGAGGTACTAAACTATGTCATTTCCAAGGGCCTGTTACCCTGGAAATTTCAGTGCATCTGTAATTTACCATAGCAAAGATGTGTTTCACAATACCACATCATATTTAACCTCATGAAATTGGCAACCTGTGGCACTAGCTTGGGACAGAGGGAAAGGGGAAATATCCAAAGTAACACAAGTGTAGCTTAAGGAAAGATGACCAATTCATTCTGAAAATACGGCCTGGAGTCAGTATGTTCCTATTCCATTGCGAGATGAAGATTCTATTTTCTTTATTGTCTCAACCACACATCTAAAGGGGCTTGTTTTTTATTATAGTCTCTGTATCACCAACTTCCAAAGAATATGACATTGGATAAAGCAGCAGTAAATTTCCTAAGACCATTCCAACAGGCTCCAAGGCATAAAGAAATCTACATCAAGTCATCATAATTGTAGTGGAAAATAAGAATGGCAACTATTTTCTCTAAACAAATCAGCACAGGATTTTAATCAGGTAATCTGAATTGGGTAGTAAAGCATGATAAAGTCATTTCTTTATTTTTGACTCTCTAGTCTGAAAGGCAAGGGCCTTCAAAGTAATATAGAAATAATTTGGCAATGGTCTGTAATTCAAGTAACCCACATTTAATACAAATGGAAAGGATTTAAGAAATTTATGACAAACTGTATAGTGGGAAACAAAAGTTCTATAATGGAAGTGGGGAGGGAAGGAAGGAAGAAAGAATGGGGGTGGGGAAAGAGAGGGAGAGAGAGAGAGAGACAGAGAGAGAGAGGGAGAGAGAGAGGGAGAGAGAGAGATACTAGCCTAGACTGAGATAGTGTGAATATGCTATTCCATCAGATTAACTGTGCCCAGCTGCTGAGCATACTGCTCTGTACGCCAGTTACAATTAGTTCTCACCCAGAATCACCCAAACAGGCCAAAGTCCATAATCAAACTTTAACAGCCTGGAGACTGTG